ATATATATATTTAAGAATCACATATTTCTTGGGAAGAGATGAGTTGAAATGGAAACTGAGGATCCCATGCATAGAGAAACTCAACAGTTTGAAAGGGATAAATGGATTGGCCCTTTTTCAAAAGACAGACATCACCAGAAATTTGCAAGATTGATTGATCCACATATTTATATGTTCGAAATCCATCACATTTGAGCTTCACTTGAGACTGAGCACACACACATTTGTTAGTGATTCTCACTTTCCACTCCGGCATGCCATGTGCCCAGTTCCCTGTCCTTGATTGCTTGATTATAATGTTCTTACCACTTGAGCAATATAAAGCATCACCTATAATTAATAATACAATATTTTAATTAATTTCTACAAAGTGCAATGTTACACACACGTATGTATATTTAAGTAAACTAAATTTTTTATGACCAGTGTAATTTGATTTATCTCATATATATAATTATTTATATGTTACAAATGAGTATTACCTTTGAAAATGAATCCAAAAAAGAGAATGAGGGAGAGAAGCTTGAAAATAGAGGCCATTTGAAACGTACTAGACGGCTAGGGTTTGAAGTTTTTTGATTGATGAGAGAAGTTTTCATTGTCATTCAATATATATAGGGCTACGTGGCACGTGGTAAGTGGAAACCCATTGGCGAATTTATTACTTTGATTTAATTTCTGTTTAAGCCATATACGTTATAAGTTAAATTTCACAAATGAAGTGTTTAAAGAGTAACAACTTTTAATGTATTCAATAATAGTGTGTGTTACATTTATTAAATTTCATAAATAGCACATTATAATATGTATAGTCAGAAATATTATTAAAAAAATGTTTACTACTAAATAATATATTTTATTTTTATTTTAAAATATTTTTCTAAGCTGTTCTTTTTTAAATAATGATACAATTAATAACTTCTATAAATATTTTAGTGTATTTTATTATTTTTATTTTTGTAATAATTATTTTTTTATTTCGTTATATATTTTATAAGTGTATCTATGGATTTTATCAACAAATAATTTATACCTAAAACCCTGAATATAATATATTATTCTATTATATTATATTTTTATAATATAATATAATAATATAATAAAAGAAAGTAAATCATTTTAAAAAGTAATTATATTTTAATATAGAATAATATATTAAAACCTTTTATTAACGTTAAATATAATATTTTTTTATAATTATATTTTAAAATATTATTTTACTTAAAAGTTTATTAAAATATAATTACTTTTTATATTTCTGTTATAAAAGAAAGTTTTAAGGATTTTTTATTTTGGTTTTTTAATTATTAAAATACACATATATTTAATTGTAGTAATTATATAATAATTATATATTCTAATTCATTCAATTAAACCATTCTATAATCACTAGGGTTAGCCTAGTGGTTGGGAG